TCACTATGCTCCATGCTTATCTGAAATTAATTTGTTTAATCCTCACATCTCTACTTTACCCATATTGCAGAAGAATAAAGTGAGGTCCAGTGGTAAGTCATTTGTTACAGATCTATAATTACAAAGGGCTTGAGCTGGTTATAATCAAAATCTCTAACCATGGGGCAAAAATTTACTCCTTTAAAAAGTAAAATGGGACATTAGGCACAATGTTGAATTTGCTACCATCCACTATCAGAGTACTTGGGTGTAAGATCCAGTTCCACTTTTAATTCCAGCTTCCTGCTGACATGCATCCTAGAAAGCAGTACGTGGGTTGCTGCCATCCACATGGGAAACTCAGACTGAGTTCCTGGTTCCTGGCTTATGACCATCCTGTTCCAGTTATTGTGGGCATTTGAGGAGTAAAACCATAAGATAGAAGATTGATCTTTTTTTCCTCTCTTTCAAATAAAATAATTACATTTCTTTTAAAAGTAAAATGAGGACTTTCATTGCCAGATGATTAGACACATCGTTTCTTATTTCTTCTACTGGGTACAACTAAAGCTCTTAAGTTTGTGTTAAACATAACATTCAGAGAACTTAGAAAAGTGAAGAGAGTACAAATAAACTAAGGAACTAAGGGCCACAAAACAATCCCTCAATGTTCTTTTGTCCATATTCAAGACTTGCAGCAGAAAATGTGGCAAGTGAGAAATGGTAATAGACAGAAACCAAAAACACTAAAGGGAAGAAAAAGATAAAATCACCAGTCTCACTATCTAAAGGATTTAGTAAGGGGGAACAGAATTTTTAAACAATAACCATACTCATATAGCCAGACAACCCAGAAAAAAACAAAGTCCACCTATGGCAATAAACACATTATTTGTAAATGGTATAAATGTATACCAATTAAAAGATATTGATTGGAAGACTGAATTTAATGCATCTCCCAAATATGGGGTGGAAAGGGCAGAAACACAACCTAACAATTAAGACACTGGCATCCTATATTGGAGTGCCTGGCTTAAATTCCAGGCTTGGCTACTGACTCTAGTTCCTGCTGATGCAGACCATGGAAGACAGTGGGGATGGCTCAAGTAATTGGGTTCTTGTCAGCCACACAGCGGAACTGGATTAATTTCCTGGCTTACAGCTTTGGCCCCAGCCCAGTCACAGCCACTGTGGACCTTGTGAAACAGAACCAGTGGATGGGAGCTCTTTCTGTCTCATTGCCACTCAAATAAGTAAAGTAAATATTTAGTATTTTCCAATTGTATGCTATCCATATTTTTAAAAACCCTCCTCAAATATAAAAACACAGGTAGGGTAACAATAAATGGGTGAGAAAAGACATCTCATGCAAGTATTAAAATAACAAAGGGTCGATTCTGTTAATTACAGATAAAATAAGCTTCAAAGCAAATTATTAAAAAATAGATAAGGCCATTATATGAAATACATGTGATCCTATAAAGACATAGCAATATTATACTTTTGCCCCAAAACAATAAAAGTACAAAATATACAAAGCTAAAATTAATAAAACTACAAGAAAAAATAGATATACCCATAAAATATTAGGAAATGTGCAAACAAGTCAAAAGCCCTCCCATGGGTAAATAAACTATGCCATATCTACACAATGATTGCTACTCATTAGCAATGGGATCAGACTATTTATGCACACAACAATCTCAATGAATCTTCAGAAACATGCTGAATGGAAAAAAGTCAATCCCAAAAGGTTATATACTACATGAGTCTCTTTATGTGACATTCTTGAAATGGCAAGTTACACATTTGGAAAACAGAATAACCATTATCAAGTACTAAGGAAGTGGTGGGGGCAGGATAGACCATAGATGCGACTCACAAAAGGGCAAACTGAGGAATGCTTTGGTGTTAGAATTATTCTGTATCTAGATTGTACCAATATCAATATGTTATTTGTGATATTTTACTATAGTTTTGCAAGACAGTGCCACTAAAGAAAAAAGAAAAGATTAGAGCCCTTTGCATTGTTTCTTAAATATTTGCATCAACACTTTTCTCAAAGTAAAAACGTAATTTTTTTTTTTGAGAGGTACCCTTACAGAGAGAGGCAGAGACAGAGGGAAGTCTTCCATGCACAGGTTCACTCCCCAAATGGCTGCAATGGCCAGAGCTGAGCTTGTCCAAAGTCAGGAGCTTCTTCCAAGTCTCCTACAGGGGTGCAGGGGCCCAAGTACTTGGGCTATCCTCTGCTGCTTCCCCAGTCCATCAGCGGAGAGCTGGGTTGGAAGAGGAGCAGGCAGTACATGAACTGGCACCCACATGGGATGCCAGCACCATAGGTGGAGGCCTAGTCTACTGCACCACAGCACCGGCCCACAAAAAATTTTTTACCAACAAGTCAACATGGTCTTGTAGGTAATTCTGCAGTTATTCTTAGGCATGCACAGTCTCATCCTATTGTAAGCTGGCAGAAGCAGCCATCCCTCTGTAAGCTTACTTGGTATAAGAAGCAGGCATTCTGCCACTTGTACAGAGATCATCTTCCACAAAGTCCACACTCTAGTTTTCCTTACAGATCCATAAAGTTCCAGATCTCTGTAGGATGCAGACTCTCCTCTGTTTGAAATATAGCCTCTGAAGAGATGCAGAGCTATCTTTGAGTTCTCTATTTTTGTTACAACTCACTTTGAATCCATATAGCTCACATCAAAGCTTTATTATTGGGTGATCCTTTACAATATATTCTCAGTTTCTCATTGCTTCAAATTGTACCTTAGTTCAAGCCAGTATTTGCTCCTAGACCATTACAGTGGCCCCAACTGATCTTCTTTCACTTCTTCCATTTTTCCTGCTGCAAGCTATTCTCTATGCAACAGCCAGAGTGAGCCCCACATTCCCACTTAGAGCCCTCCAATTGGTTCCTACCATCTTTAGAATAAAAACTCAGCCCTTTTCAAGGTTTACCAAACCCTATTAAGCAGGTTACTTCCGCATCTCTGCTCTCACCCATAGCCTTCTTCCCCCTCATTACCTCAACTACAGCCCCCATGACCTTCTTGCTCTTTTTCAGACACACCAAGAAAACTGCCAATCAGGGCCTTTATTCACTGGTTATTCACTAAAAATGCTCTCTCCCGGATCTCTTTTCATGTTCTGTATGTCAAACATGAATAAAAAAAGGCTTTCCAGGATAAGCCTGTATGAAAAAAATACACCATAAGGTTCTATTCATTTGCTTCCCCTTGTTCTTTTATAGCTCCTCTTACTAACTAACATCATATCTCATATGGTTTTTACCATTTATTTTTTCATAATAAAAAATTGAATACATTATTTTTGTCAGATAGAGTTAGACAATGAGAGAGAGAGAGGGAGGGAGAGATAGAAAGATCTTCCTTCCGTTGGTTCACCCCCCAAACGGTCGCTACGGCTGCAACTATGCCGATCCAAAGCCAGGACCCAGGACCCAGGAGCCTCCTCCTGGTCTCCCACACAGGTGCAGGGGCCCAAGCACTTGGGTCATCCTCCATTACCCTCCTGGGCCACAGCAGGGAGCTGCACTGGAAGAGGAGCAACTGGGAATAGAACCCGGCACCCATATGGGATGCTGGCACCGCAGGCGGAAGATTAACCAAATGAGCCACAGCGCCAGTCCTTACTATTCCATTTATTAACTATCTTGCTACTAGGATGCAAACACTACACAGGTAGGAACTATAATTTGTTCATAAAGGCACCTGTTATATTGTAGGTATTCAATAAATACTTCGTGAGTAAATGATAAAATCTAAATAGGGACTCACTGAGATTCAGGTAATGTTTTTATAAGTAGCCTTATCACCCTACCACCACTACCCTACACACATCCTGCGGATTCTAGAATCCTTCCCAAGACTCATGAGATTTTACAGAGCTTTACGTTATCATCTCTACTTCTGACTGTTCACTTTCTCAGTTTATAAATCGACTTACTATTCTACATATACTATCTTTTCCACCCACAAAAATCCTTCATACATATGGTAACTTGGATTTTTAATAGACTTACTCAATATTTGTGGACAAAGGAAATATTTATAAAGAGACACTGTAAAGAAGAATTTCCAGTAAACATTGAACATTTCCTTAAAAAACCTTCAGTCACTACCCTGTCAGCGTTTTTTATCACCATATCATCCTGTAGATGCTGCTGACCTCACACCAAGCTCCCAGGCCAGCTCTACACAGTGTGGTGCAGTCTTCATGTCACTCTCAAAGTCAGAATACATTCCTCTCTTCACTTTAGAGAAAAGAATTGTCTTCACCTTTCTTGCCTTTGGTCTCATGCTTCAAGTTCCCTTTTAACATCCCAAGAAGCTCTTTAATGCATCTTCCTAAATAAAATTCGCTTTTAAAAAAACATGTCTGATGTCAGCTGTGAAAAATGACACTTCTATTTCTTCTGCTGTGTGAGAACTTCTAATATCCCCCCAGACACCAAATATTGCTATCTGAATAAATATCATTTCTCACCCTCATTTGTGATAATATTTTTCATACATATACATACATATATACACAGATGTGTATGCTATTGTGATTAATAAATTATAGAAAAGTATTACTGAAATTACAGTGTTTCTGTCATTGAGTATTTTGTCAACCAATCCATTCTAAAAGATAAACTTCAATCAGGCAGGTGTCCTTAAGACTTATGGTAAAGCCAGTTTTATCACTCAAAAGAGGTAATAATTTATTGCCAATCCAATACACATTTTTCTCAAATGGAAACTGAAACCTAAGACTGCAAAGGGATAAAGGCAGCCATCCTTGAAGATTCCTGTCATGCTTGTCAAGTATTTTCATCTTAGAAATTGCCATAGGGATGAAGAAAACACCAGGACATGTTTGTCTAATGACTCAGAAATGTTGCTAAGTGGAAAAAGTTACGTGCAGACCAATATTTAGTGTGCCATTCAAAAAGGGTAAGCTTGTACTATTATCATTTGCTTATGAGATATATGGTCTTGCTTTCCTAGATGAAGAATCCAACTGCCTTGAAGTACAGAATACCAGAAACCTGGAAGGTGATAACTATGTTGGAGGGTGAAGGTCTGAAGCCAGCCCCACCCATCCTGCACTTTGGATAGCTCAGGACAATTGTGATCTTGGGGACTCTGGTCAGTTGTATTTCGAACAGTTGATCTCTAATCTTTTATGCTGTTGCATGCTCATCACCATGCTTGGTCTTGGGAAGAGCTGGTAGCCATTTGCATGTCTTCTGAAACACTACTTCTAGAATTTCCTATATTCTAATGTATTCCACTTGGTTACATCACCCATTACTTTCCTGGAATCCAATGGAACAATCAAAAACCTAGGTTCCATGGCCAACTATTCCATGCCAGTAAAACCCTCCCATTCTTCTAGCCTTACATAGTCTCTCTAGGTACAAGAGGCTTGAAATCAATTCTACCGGTTCAAATTCCAACTGGATTGACCTCTGAACTGCAACTGTGGTTATGTTACACACACCATTTGTGTCTACCAGTCACATCTGATAAGTCAACCAGAGCACCTGATGAGTTGACTTCCCACGACTATAAAGGACACTCTCAAACTAGAAAACATGGCTCTTCTGGATGGCTACTGAGGGAGGGGCCAGAGAGCACACGAGAGCTCCCATCTGTTGATTCACTCTCCAAATGCCTGCATCAACTACAGCTGGGCCAGGCCAAATTCAGAAGCCTGAAAATCCATCCACATTTCCCACATGAGTAACATGTACTCAGGTACTCAAGATATAATCTACTGCTTCCCAGGAAGCACATTAGCAGGAATCTGGATCAGAAGTGGGGTATCTGGAGCTCAAATTAGGCACTCAGTTAAGGCATGTGGACATCTCAAGTGGAATCTTAATGCACTGTACCACAACACTCATCCCACCCACCAATCCCTTCTTACCCAATTGTGAAGGAATACGCTTCCTGGGGTACATCTGTCAGTTCAGGTTCCTCAGGAAGCAGACACCATACATTTCAAGTATGACCTTTATTGAAGGCAATATCCGAAATAAAACGGGATGAAGACTGACATCCAGGAATGGAGATGAGAAATAAAGGAAGATTGTAGGGAGCAACTCGGACTAGACTAAGTTACTGGAATTAAGACTTATTCTATGCATCTGCTCTCCCACAATATGGCGCTGAGAAGGGAGAAGCAGCTTCTACACAGCTGCCTCCAGTTCAACCAATAAACAGCAGGACCTGCTCCTGATTGGAGGAGAGCAGCGTACTCGGCGTGTGGGTAGCAGAGTTGGGATTGGCGGAAGAGGACTATCAAGGAGGAGAGAGACAACATGCACGTGGAACATCTAAAGGGAACATCTATCTGAAGGAACACCTGTGCAGCCCCCGAGAGAGCCGGCCGGCAGTGTGCCGCTCCCCCGCGGAAGTGGGGAAAGTGGCAGGGGGAACCGCCCCTCCATGGAGGTGGAGGGACGGTAGCCAACCCGGGAAGAACCAGCAGCAAACCCGGGGAGGGCCGAGCAGACAAAAGAACAGCGCAGGGTCCTGTGTCGTTCCTCCATGAAGACAGGGAGTGACAGAAGATGATGTAGGAAGAGGTTCAGACTGTAGTACAGCTCTGAGCCAATCTTAGCCACCCCATTGGGAAGCCTCAGTATGGAGAAAGGTTGTAGATGAGTCCTATAGTGAATTAAAAAAAGGGTCCAGACTCTAGTATGTCCATAATGCTCAGCATTGACTGGGAACAGCCTGAGTAGTGTGGCCTCAGTTCAAATGTTGCAGTAAAACTTGAACGTGCTATGGCTGGGCTCTTTAAGTCATATCATTAGTTACATCAGCTTCTTTCTTGAAGAGAGATCTGAGCATCACACATCCATGATTGTCCCAGTAGGCAATAAAGCTCTCCATAACCTTGGTCATGGCCTAATACCTAGGTGTGGGATGTATGCCAATATCAAAAAATGTATAGAATCTTCCAGGCAACTAAAGACAAACAGAAGGCAGCCTAACTTCTAGAGCCATCTTAAGTAACAGAATCAATTACCTGTTGGGAAAATAGGGGGAATCTTAACCTGGACGAATTTATCACACATATATGCAGCGAAGATTCAAAACATTCAGAGGCCCACATACGGGAATAGGAAGCAGGGTTTTCTAGAACTCTGAGCAACTAGAATATATACTATAGAGTAGGGCTGGGCTTTCTTGGCCTCTGCATTAGGGGAGGTTTCCAGATATTATTCATGGCTTTTTTTATTTATATCATAATCAACCTCCAGTGTCTCTCATGGCAATATAAGAGATCAACCTCATAGTCTTTCAGAGTGGGTAATGAAACATAGCATCCACACATTGGGATAAGGAATGAGTTACTCCATGGAGGGTGGCTGCTCCCCACCCCCCCCCCAAAAAAAATCAGTGATCTCATATAGAGCTCCACAAAATTTGCAGACTTAAGGCAATTGAGCCTGGAAAGGACTGGAGTTGAACATTTGGTGGTGAGTCAGAACAGTGAACTATTGTCAAATGGATTCAGTCACAAGCTTGTACCCCATCCCTCTGACCATGCCAGTGGATGTAAATAATGTACTGAACACCTGCAGACCAGTCATCTGCTCCCCAAATCTGACATTCTGCATTTTGCTATGGTTTAAGTGTGTTCCCCATAGTGCATGAGTTGGCAACTTAAACCCCTGTGTGGCAGTGGTCAGAGGTAGGACTTATAAAGGCCACTAAGTCATGAAGACTTTGCCCTTATGAATGGATTAATTCCACTGTCACAGGACTCACTTTTCATGGAGCAAATTCCTAATAAAAAGATGAATTAGGCCTCCTTCTTTGCTTTTTCTTGCTCACTCTCAACTTTTCTTTCCAACACAGGATGATTCAGAAAAGAGATTGTATCTAGAGGCTAACCCCCTGACATAGGACATCCCAGTCTCCAGAACCATGAACCAAACTCATCTCTTTATGAATTACCCAGTATCTGGTGTTCTGTTACAGCAGTACACCTTTCTAGAATCCTGTCTCCCTCATCAAAACATGATGGGCAATGGGAGGCCACACATCTGCTAACTGTTTTATGTCTCTATAAATTTCTCTCTCAATAACTGCTTTTCCAAAAGGCCTGCTATGTATGTTCTGGGGTCATGTAGTCTTGTTTGCAATAATCTTCTCTCTGTATATAAATACACTGTGGAAAGTTACACAAGAAATCAATAAAAGTTGAAAACCCAGAAGGAATAGGGTAGTTGGTAGATGCGGATATGAGGAAAATAGAGAGCTCTCATTTTTTATAATTGGTATTTGAATAATAAAGCTATGTAATCAGGTCAGGCATTTGGAGATGTCATTAAGATGTTACTTGAGATGCAAGCTAAATCAATAAGTATCAGAAAATAAATGTAGAAATAAACAATTCAAGTAAGTGCCACACATTTCCCCCTTGTGCTCCAAATTTCACATCAAGGACTTGAAAATGACATCAACAACCACAAAAATGAAAGCACACCAGGTGCAACAGAGAAAACATCCCAAAAGTAAAACAGCATCATGATGACAAAGGATAGTGCACAGGTTTTCTTAAATAACACATCAGGATGCAATCTTCATTGAATTTAAAGAAGTTTTTTAAACCTAGAGAGGAAAATTAACTAAAATAAGAAAAATTTCTACTGCTTGTGTGTGATAGAAATCTAAACATCACACAGATGGATCCCCTATTGGAAATTAGGAAGATACAATTTACATTTTCCTCCTAGCTCTTTATAGCTTAAATGGGGAGACAGACAACTAAGAGGGTAATTAAAATACAGCGTGATATCGTATATAAAAAATTCCAGAAATGCTGTTGATCTAAATGTGAAAGAAAAAGCAAAAAAAAACTCTAGAAGAAAATATCCAAAACTTTCTCATCAACTTTAAGGTAGGAAAAAAGGTTTTAGAGTAAAAAATGTTCTCCACAGAAGAAACAATAGATTGGATAACATTAACAATGAAAAATTCTGTTGATCAAAAGATACAACCAAAGGAATAAGAAAATAAGCCACAGAGAGTATTTCTATTGCATGTACATGAAAAATCACTGCAACAAATCAGTAATACAAAGAAATATACTCCAACAGAAAGCTGGGCAAGAGACAAATTGTCATCCACAGGACATCTACATGAACAGTAAACATCGAGCTTCAATGAGATACTTATAGACAGCCAACAGAATGGCTAACCATTGGATAATACCCACTGTTGATGAGAATTGGAAACAATTGGAATCTAAACACACCTGGAGAGAGAAAATTGGTTGGAAAAAATTATTTTGGAAAATTTTCAGTAGTGTCTACTGAAGCCAAATATTTGCCTATTCCAAATTCCTAGATATGTACACAAGATAAATGAGTACTTATTTCCACCAAAAGATGGAAACAGAAATATTCATAGCACCATTATTTTCAAAGAAACAAAAACAAAAAAGCAGCATTAATGTCCATCAATCAAATGGATAAATGCGTATTGATCTATTCATACAATGGAATACCAATAATGAAAATAGAAGAACTACAGCTACGAACACGACACAGAAAAATCTCATAATATTAAGTAGAATAAAATTATACATACTGCATGATTCCACATGAAGTTCTAGAATAGGCAAAACTATAATATTGAAAATCAAAATAAGGATTACCTTAGACCTGAAGGAACTGATAGAAGAAAGCATTAAGAGGGCTTCTAGGGTAACAGTATGTTCAATTTTTTGGCCTGACTGGTTGTTATGGGTCTATTAACTTCTGGCTAAGTAAGCTGTGCAATTTGATCTGTACATTTTTCTAAATGAATATTATTCTTAAATGTAACATTTAAAAAATAAAGCATAATGAGTACTCTAATAGAGCTGAGGGACCACATACAAAGAAGTGCCAACGTTGGTTTAGGTGATTGAAAAAATCTTTCTCCCCAGGTGGCTATGCTGAACCCTGGAAGATGACAGGAGTGATCTTGGTCAATGACAGTGAGAGAGACTGTAGTGCCTTCTGGGAAGTGTAACTATTTTCTATAGATGAAACACAGCTTTGGGGTTGTAAGGGATAAGAGAAAAGAGAGGAGATGGAAGAGCTAAGAGGATCCAGATTACAAAGGGCCTCTTAAGCCTTGTGAGGGAATTTGGACTTAGTTCTTGGAGCAAAAAAGGAGCTTGTTTCAAATAGAAATGTGAGTAGTTTTGCACCTGAAACCATCATTGTATCTGACACAGTATTGAAAATAGAAGATGGGAACTAGGCTAAAATCAGAGTCTGGCAGACCAAAGTGGAGTCCTTTAAAAAAAAAAAACTAGATATTTTCCAATAGTCCCTAGCAAATGACTGATTATGTATGAGGGGTTAAGGGGGATGGAGGGGTCTGGGAAGACCTCTGCATCATTTTCTGAGGAGAGAACAGTAAATGATGAAAATCTGGGAAGGAAACAGTGTTGTTCATGGACCAGCCATAATTGATCCTTCTGTATGTCAACACCACAGCAAGAGCCTAAACACCCCAAATGGACTCTTACTTTCAATAGCACTTTTATAAACCTCTTAGTTTCACACCAACCACCTCATTTCAGTCTCTCAGTAGGTTCTAACATAGTTGTCCAGACATTATGAGTTCCCGTAGTAAACTGTGTAACTCACAGACGTGTGTACCCAGCCATTTAGAGTCAGCAAAACACATGCCATAGGACAGGGAAGTGTGGAAGTAAAGCTCTACCCTTACCTCTTTAGGAGTCCACCGATGAGCACTGGAGAAAGCTACTCTTCAACACCATACTTCTTACTCCATGAACCTTACCGGAACCGCTGAGATGGTCAGCCAAGAAACTGCATGACAACACACTCTGAAACATAAGAGTAGTGCAAGAAGGCTCTATTTTTCTTACCTCTGAGAAGCTTCTGTAAAAGAGAAACCTTAAATGAATGATTAAGCATTTTCATGAACTAACCACAGCCCTTGTTTTCTCTTACAATCTAAGCCAACAGATTATCATCCTTGGCCTTGGCTTGTGGAGCTATGCTAATTTTCATGGCTTCTAAGGCCTACTTTATTGATTTTCTATAAGGGCCAGCTGTGTTCAGACACATAGGTGGCATCATTATTTGTCCAACAGCACTGAAACCAACTCATTGACAGCTTCATCACTTTGTCATAGATGCCCAAATGCAGGGCCTTGTCAACACTGGGGACATTTTGGCATCTCATACTTAATGTTCCCCATTAACCCACAGATACACATTAGGGTGATGAATTCTGTGTCAACTCATTTTATTTATCACCTCTAAGATGAGCTGTTAAAGGACCACAATTGTCAAATTCCTCATATATCTGCCATGAGCCAAAGAGTAAGCAAAAGTCCATAATAGCTGACATTTGAACATATTCTTTCTGGAAGCTAAACAGCTGAAAGTTGCCATTTCTCTAGGTTTAATATGAAACCAAATTTAAAACTAAATAGTATTACCTCTCAGCCTTTTTGCTAAGATCAGGTGTAAAACTAAATAGTGTCCTAATTCAAAAAAAAGTACATTAAGAGGTAAATGTTAATATCATTGCACTACCTGAGCATAGTGTGCTCACATGAAGTAGGAGGAGAGATTTAATTATAAATCAGCTTATCTATAAACATTTAAAATTAATAAGATCCAAAGACCTGAAATAAATGAATAAAGCATCTAATCACAAATGTCAAAACTCAGTAGATTTGGTATCCATTAACAGGTCCTCTAAAACATAAAATCCAAGGCTTGTCATCAAAATCGATGTTATGTCTGTTTCTACCAATTGTTTGAATACATTTATGTGTGTAAAATAGTACATAAGTGGACCTGAGTCAATCTTTATAATCTGTAATCCATAAACCTGTAGCAAAGGCAAACTTAGGATAGAATCGACTTCATCTTAAATCAGCAATGGGTAAGTTTCAGGCAGGAGGTTATTACAGAAGACTTGGAGCAGGACATGGAAAGAGACAGTGGCCAAGCAGCCATTGATCAGAGGGTAGTTACACCCAAGGAGAAGCATGATGTTCCAAAAAGTAACTTAATCATCAACATTCACTTGAAGATGTCAGAACAGAAACAGCATTCCCAAGAGGGTACTTCAAAAAGTTCATAGAGGGTGGGTGTTTTGTCCAGCTACTCCTTGGGACTCCTGTATCCCCAATCATATTGTCAGGTTCAACCCCAGGTTTCCTTTGTGTTCCAGGTTCCTGCTAATTCACACCTCGGGAGGCAGCAGGTGACCCCTGCCACCCACATGGAGACCTGGATGGAGTTGAGTCCCTGATTTCAGCCAGGCCCAGACCCAGCTTCTGTGGCCATTTGGGGGGTGAATTAGTGGATGGAAGCTTGCTTTCTCTCTCTCTCTCTCTCCCTCCCTCCTTCCCTCTGTGTGTGTATGTATGTGTTACTCTGCTTTTTAAGTAAATATACGTAAATAAAGCCTTTTTAAATTTCACAAAATGGAATTTAAAAATGTTTCTTTGGGGGCAAAAAAAACCTGAAGTCCACACATGTGAAGAATCTTCCTAAAAAAGGCATGGGACAGGAAATATGCCACAGCAGGTTTAGTACCTACTTGGGACACCCACCCACTTTCTATACTGGAGGGTCAGTTCAAGTCCCTGCTACTCAATTTCCAATACAGCTTCTTGCTAACACATCCTGGAATGCATCAGATGATGGCTCAAATATTATGCCCCATGTTATCCATGTGGGAGACCTGAATGGAATCTTGACCTCCTGGCTTCAGTCTGGCCCAGCCCTAGCTGCTGTGAGCATTTACAGAGTGGGCCAGCAGAAGGAAGCTTCTCTTTCTTCTTGTCTGCCTTTCAGGTAGATGAAAATACACATTATTAAAAGTTCATGACAATGCATATTATAAAAAAATCTATGTATGCATGGCTTTCAAATTGTTTACACCAAAAGAAATTTCTCCTTTAATTATATGTACTTTATTGAAGTACCCTTTTATATAACTGTCCTTAAAGAACCTTAACATTGTCCATCTTACAGAGAAACGATCTGAGCATTGAGAACTTGAGAAACTGAACCAATGTTGCAGGGCTATTTAGGGGCTATGCTATGAATAGAACTCAGGGTATCTCAAATCCTCTTTGGCACTCTTTGTACCACCTGTGCTGTATACATTGTAGTCAGGGGTTCCACAGATTCTTGTTACACATAATATGTGATTAAGATACTGTGTCAGTTGCCATAAGAATGATGTAACACTATCCGTCCTCATTCGGATTGAATAAATCAAATGATATTTACCAAAAAAAGGCATTGTCCATTGGGACTTTAACATCACAGGGGCTAAGTCATCCATGTCATTCCCCTCCAAATATGACACTTCTCTAAATATACAAGTATGTTTGGGTGGGAATCCAAGCTATGGCACACATCTGGACCACCTGGGATAGCCGATCTTGGCAAATGTTATCTCCACAAGCACTTCCTACTCTCAAAGCCACAACAGACCAACCACCATGAACACAGAGCTACTTAGCAGAAGACTTTGTGGTCAGGATGTTTTTCATTGCATTTTGCCAAATAAATTTTTCTGTCCTCACTGCTCAAGGCTGCCCACTTTATGTGCCAACATCTCAGCTTTTGGACCCTATTATTATGTTCTCTTTCAAGGCAGACAGGAAAGAGGATGGACAGAATGACTTGGACATAGGGTAAGACCTTGGTAAATAATCAGGGCTATTAGAACCTATTATGACATCATTAAATATCCAGGAAAATCTGTGCATGTATTGTTAAATGTGCCTCCATTTTCACTCAAAACTGCCCTCTCCTTTTAAATGCAAGTAACTCTATACATGTATTGGTATAACAAATTTCTGATTTAGATGATCAGATTTCATTCCACATCAATAGGAGGGAGAGGTGAACTAAGAACCTTGGACGCTTGTGGCAGGGGTGAGGTAATCTCTGTGATAACCTCCAAGCAGTCCGATTCTGTGAACGAGAACTCACTGAAGGAGCAGCAATTCTGTGCTGGCAGATTGGCTCTGTACCGCCTTCTCTGAGGTAATAACCATAATCACCCTCATAATCATTAAAGCAGCTGATATTTATTGGGGGCTTTTATGTTCCAGACACTTAACTGAGAGTGTGATACTGTTGAGGCCAAAGGCAGGTCCTTTTGCAACTCAATCTTCCGTTATGACCCCTGCTGGGCTTCAAGGGTTCAAAGCAGATCTTGGTATATACATCTTGTTTGCCCCTGTAGAAAGGTGGACTGATTCTCTCCTTTGTAGAGGTGTCAAGATAAAATACATTAATTCTAAACATGATATGCAAGCTGGTACACATTTATGCCTGCAAATTCAGGTTTACATACAAGAAACATCACTTGTTTTGATGATTTCAACTTTTCAAGCATGGATTGTACCACCTAGGTCTCAATCTTGTCTGGCCTCAATTTCCTCATTTATAAAATGGGGTGCAAAATGCCATTGGGATTTCATAACAGATGAATTATCAAAGTCCGCAAAATCACTGTCATATAGCACCTGTAACCTGAAGGCTGGTCAGATGTTTACATTATTGTTTCCAAAAATATTGATGAAATAGGTCTCTGTGGAGTCCTGGCATGGTGAGATGCAAGGAGGGGTGGTAAACTTCAAAGTATTATTACCAGGTATTGCAGAGAAGGTCTCTCTGTTTGCTATGGCTTGAATATGGTTCGTCTCCAAGAGGCATGCTAAAATGTAGTCTTCAATGTAATGGTGTTAAGAAATGGCAGAGCCTTTAACAGGTGATTAAGTCAGAGGTGGATGAAGTTCTCATGGGACTGCATTAGTTATCACAGAAGTCAGAAGTTACAAAGTGAGGCTGCCCTTCCTGTTTTTGTCTTATAAACATGCTGGCTAGCCCTTCCACTGTGCCACCACACTACAACAAAGCAAAAGGCCCTCACCAGATCCAGCTGCCTGATCCTGGATTTCCAGCCTTGACAACCATGCACTAAACAAGCCCATTTCTTTTACAAACTATCCAGTCTCTGGTATTCTATCACAGCACCAGAAAATAAACAAAGACACCCTGGGGCAATGAGGTTCTCCAAGCCAAACAGCCTCACTGTCTAGGAGCCACACAGGAACCAAAAACCTTCCTGTAAGGCTGTATACAGGCCTATCTCCTCCATGTACAACATGGCCACTTTCTGGGCCCTCACAGAAGCATTCCCAGAGAGGCAACTGCAGGACGCAGGGGCAGTTGCACACCTGGCCCGCTTATCTTACAAAGCATCAGCAGATCAGAGACAGTGTGCCCCAACTACACAATGCCTGCCACCTCACTCCCTTACTCCATGTATCACACAGGGGTCGCTCTTGGGCACATCTTTACTGGAGCTGAATAGGAGAGGAAAATCTATAAGGTCTAGTTCAGTCTGGCCAAGCTGACACATTGCTGAGTCACCACAGACTCCATCAGGCCTTATTCCCCAAGGCAAAGCCAAGGTCCATTTGGAAAGAAAGCACTTAAGTAGGAGTGTATTTGGGTGTGTGTGCTTGTGTGTGTGAATCAATAGAGCTGTAAAAGTATAGGGTACTTTGAAATAGCCAGCTCCGCTGTGACATAGTGGGTAAAGCCACTGCCTGCAGTGTCGGCATCCCATATGGGCGCCAGTTCCAGTCCCCGCTGCTCCACTTCTGATCCAGCACTCTGCTATGGCCTGGGAAAGCAGAAGATGGCCCAGGTCCTTGGACCCCTGCATCTTTGTGGGAGACCCAGAAGAAGCTCCTGGCTCTGCATAGGCACAGCTCCGGCCATCGCAGCCCATTAGGGAGTGAACCAGAGGATGAAAGAGCTCTCTTTCTCTTCTCTGTGTAACTCTCAGATAAATAAATCCTTTAAAAAAAGTAAGATATAGCCAGCCTCGACTCTGTAGTACTTTACAGTCTTCATCTCTGCTTTTTACAAGAATCCTATGTGAATGAAGTAGGATCACACACACTCCTCTGATTAAAAAAAAAAAAAAAACTGACTCAGAAGGTAAGTACCTACTAACATAACTATGATTTGAACCGAGATCTCATCTTATATTCAAGAACCTAACTATTCTGCCACCTGTCACGTGATCTTCTCATTGCCTAAATCCCAAAATAATTCACCAATGGCTGATTTATAATGTGTTTACTATATGTACACACACACACACACACACACCATACAATGTAGATATGAAATGAATCCAGTTGTGAGGGTTTCAGATTTTCAGTTCGGGATTCTACAGGAAGTCAGACCCTCCCCTAGTTTTATAAGCTTTCAGTGTGTCCTGGATTTTGCTGCCACCTGGAAGACACAAAAAAGCCAGTTTCCTAAGGAGGATGATTGCTGCATCCCTCAGGGCCCTGCCAGTACACAGGTGGATACTCACGTGCTCCAAGTAGGGAGCATGCTTAATAAAAGGATGAGCTGCAGCAGTGGGCCAGGTTTAAGGGAACCAGCAAGGGTCAGCTGAGGACTCAAAGATGAACAGGAGGCAGAAGCGGATACTATGGGAGGAGGCAGGGGGAAGGGTCAGTACCAGATTACTAGCAAGAGCTACAGTGGAGGGGGAAGCCACTCTGCCATGGCTGAAGCTGTGGCCCCAGCTTTTTCAGGCCAATGATCTCCCACCAGTGCTTCCTTCTAGTAGACCCAACAGGGAACAGAGAGCAAGAGAATCCAGGGGAAGTCATCTTTCAAGAACCACTTCCTGGAGCACAGGCAGGACACAGAATGGGTCTAGAGAGATAAAGGGAACTCACAGATCATCTTAGTAATCACCAGACTCAGGCCAGGTACAGTGTAGTCCAATCAACAGCTGCAGAAATACAGGCAGAATGCAGGGACAGAGCATTGTCTGATATAAAACCCTGCTCCATCAGTAATGCAACATCCAGATCCCATACAATGTTGACAGCAGGGGCTGGGGCCATGCCTGCTTTAAATAGTGATCCATGATAGATGGTCCTTGCACGCTGATATAAACTTTATTTCTCCTATTTTTCTACAACACTAAAGAAGCCATTGAAGAAACTCCAGAATCAGAAAAGTTTTAGGCTCTTGAATCCCCTGTCAATCCCTTGGCAGATCCCTATACATCGCAGAGTTGCCACAAAAAAATAAAGCAGTAACTTTATTTTTAAGCATGCATGGAGAGGCATAAAAATATCCAACATAAAAATAGGACTGCAGTTTATTAGCAATGTGGCTCCATGTGAACTGTTCATCTGCACTGGCTCAACATTCCCAGAGAACATGCAGGGAAAACAAGTAGGCGGAGAAGCCCAAGATCTTAGAGCTTATACAGTGGCTTGGACTTGCCTAGGGGATCAGTCATTTCTCCCAGGTAAATCAAGTGCTGAGAAACAGGAAGAAAATAATCCTTCCAGATACAAGAATGCAAATGACAGAGACTGGAGAGAACACAAAACACCAGGTGCTAATCAAAGAAACAAACATATACATGTGGATACAGCAAATCCATTTGTGGAAAAATGGAACGAAAAAGTAAGTTTACTTTGTTGTAAAACTTTTGAAATTCATATAGTTTTTTCATAGGAGGACTGTCCACAATCTTTTGAAGTACCTGTGTGTGTATGTGTTTTACATGGATTAAATATAAAATTCTAAACTAAGAGTTCTTAGGTGTCAAACTTACAGCATGAGAAAAGCCACTGTCTACAAACACTTTGAGACAACTGATAGAAACAAACAGTGCTGTTTACCTAACAAGGTCACCATGGGAGACGGGGAAGGTGCCAACCCCTGCAGTAAGATCCGGGCCCACCAGGCCAGAGCTCTGCCTGAGGTAATGGCAGGCCTTCATTGCCCAAGAGAGGGTCAAAGTGTTTGTCACACTGATGGCATCCTAAGGCACTGACCATTCTAAACTGCAGGCGCTCAGTCTTCTCAGGCCTGAGTGTAACTTGCTGTTTTTACTTCTTGTTCTGCCTGCTGTGCAGCCCATGCTATCTCTGTGGAAATCAAACCTGTCCTGAGACAGGTTTTTACTCCTAAGCTAGCTTTTCCTTAAAAGTTTTCTTTTTAAATTTTTCCTATGATATGGCTTTTGCAATCCACAAGATAGATTTAAAAGACTAAAAATCTACATGTTGCCTTCCACCACTATTCCTACCATTATGACCAAGTGCTGGATCCAAGCAAGACCTGCAGCCAGCTGGGGAGATTCTTTGATTCCTGCCTCTGACTCAATCCTGTTTCTGCTACAAAGTAGGACAGTGAGACACAGCAGGGGCAGGACTGGCCTCCTTTGCTGCATGTATTCCTGTACTGCAGAACGGAGTTCCTTGAACTCCAGAAGTTCCCAGCATGCGGGACCAGCTCTGCGCAGCCTCCCTGCTGATGAGCTCTCTTAACCACCTGTCAGCCGACAGGTGTGAGGAATGACTATAAAGCCTAAACTTCATTTTGACCTATGCCTCAGCACCTGTGTAGTAATCCTGTTATCCAGCATATTGAGTACAAGGAAGAAAATAATATCACATGGCTAATAATACTATGGAGATTCACTCTTTCGTCAGATCCAGCTGTTTCACCTCTGGTAAGACTTCACTCATAAGACTTCAAATACTTCCATAATTCCTACCTGAACATCTCTCAGTGCTATCATTTGAATATAATTGCCCCCCCCCATACACTCACAGGATTTTAAATCCCAAAGTCCTAAGTTAATGGCACGAAGAGGATGGAACCTCAATCTAATGATTCTGTTTAGAGGTGGGGCCTAGCCAGAGGTCCTTGCAT